ATGCAGGGATATTCTTGTGCATGTATAAGTTAAAGATTTCAAATTCAGCTATCACGTACGTTTTCGTCGTAAATATTGGCAAAGACAATGTTCGCGGTTAAAATTATGCCAATTTGAAAAGTGTCTGAGGTTTTGTTAGAATATTTCTCATCTGGGAAATCATATAACTAAAGGAGTTTCGGATTGCATTTCCACTACGCCTCAGTACATGTCAAGCATACTTGTAGCGAAGAAGCAATTTTGCTTACCGGACAAGCTGCAAAGCTAAAAATTTGCAGGGACACTTTATATTCGCGTTGATCTTAAGGCGAAATATGTATGAAAGCAGTGAAATGGTACAGAACCTCTAGCAAGTGTCGAGTATGGAGGCGAGTCGTCGGTGGAGCTGCGTGATCCGCCACGTATGCTTGAATGAAGGGAACTGCTACCGCCGATAGCTCCGGGTTCGTTGGTGCGAATAGAAGCATGTCGGCTTGGTGATATCTCACCCGAAGCTATCCTGGAAGAGGATGAAATGGAAGTTGATGTTGAGCCAGCGCCACAATGTCCGCATGTTTTTGCGCATCGCTCCTTCGCTGTGAACGGGTAGTCCCGGCAGGTTTCCTTGGTGCAGTCCGGATCCTTGTCAAAACACAAGCTGCCACTCAGCTTTTCGGATCCTGTGGAAGTGCAGATAACGGTTAGGAGACAGAAAATCAACAAAAATAAAAAAAAAAACCATCGCTTGAAAAGTTTACAAGATAAACAGCTGTTAGGAAAAAGAAAACCAACAGAACCAAAATGTCTCATCTGAAAGATTTGCAAGAAAAACCATATCAGTGAATAAATTAGTGTAATTTTGAGTATATTAATCCTCTAAACTGCATGTTAACAGCCAGTAATATTTTGAAATTGGTCGTATAGTGGGTGCCACGGAATTTTTCTGCGAAGGATTCAGATCTTTCATTTTCACCATCTCCAGAGTCTTTGAATCGTAGTGTATTTACATATTACATAACTTGCTTTTGTATTTCATGCATATCAAGTGGAATTCTGTACTTGTTTGTACAGCAGCCAAGTATACCATAATTCAAAGTCGTTGTTACCAAATACTTTTCACAATTTTGCCAATTTTTTATTGGTGCTCGCAGCAGTACGGAAATAGGCGATGAAAAACAAGTGCAATTTGTTTGCAATAGCTGTGGCTGGAAAGTGAGGTGGATGTGGGAGGAGTGAGGAGGTAAAAGACTAAAGAATGTGATGAGGAATTAGAATTCGAATAGAAAAGTGAGTCAGGAGCACCGTGAGTCAAAAGTGGAACAATAAGTAATGGATGCCTTTTCACTCCTTTGAATTTCACCTTTTGTCTCCGCTTTTGTGAAAAATAATAACCCCGTGTTATGAGCCGGGAGAAATTCCTTTCCAGTGACTAATGTGTTAGTAAGTACTCCATTTCGTGGCTAACTAGAATTTTGTAGAAAAGTTTGACATTTTAGGGACAAAATACAAAGTAATTACCTCTGCTGATTATTGTTGATGTTTCACTGGTTCTTCTCGAAGATGAGCCTGGATGAATGGATGAGGATCCCAGACCGCTGCCAGACAATGATGACGAGGATTGGCAGAGGCCACAGAATTTAGGGCAGCGTTCCTTGGCTGTGTATGGCAAAGTGCGACAAATTTCTTGGTTGCAATCGGGATCCTTATCATAGCAAGCATCCAAACCACTGCTACTGATGCTGCTGCTGCCAAATGTTTTGTGTGCTGAGGCCGATCCTCCCAAGCCTGAAACACATATCCTAGCTATATCCTAGCTAATCGGAGAACATGTTGTTGTTCGCACTGTGCTACCATTACTTCTTTGTGAATAAATTTTTTTTATGCGTTTTTTGCAGTTATGCAATGCAAAAAACGCATATTGACGAGAGGTTGTCTGTG